CAGCTGCCGCTCCCTTCCACATGTAGCCCGGCGCTCTCGAGACCCAAAAAAGGAAGAATTCACCCCTTTCCTTGCTCGGAAGGGGATGCGGTGACGGAGGCGAAGGTGGGGCGGTAAACAGGAAACCGGGCTCCTGGGCACAAGGGATGAACCTGCGCTTTGGGGCTCCGCTTCCATCCCCAGATGAGCCTTTTTTTTCAGCTGGGCTTCACCTCGATGTCCCCTTCAAGGGAACCGGGGCTTCGCCTTCACCCCTTCGTATCGCCACGATGCCACGGAGTAAAACTCCCCGCGACACCCAAGGCTCCACCCCAGGCTGCACCACTCGAAGGGTTTGGGGTTTTTTGGGTTTTTTTCAGCCACTTTGGTATTTTTGGCAACAGTTTTGCATGGGCTAAGCAGCCGCGTGGTGTAATCCTCCCTCTGTGCAGCAGTGCCTTAGCAGTGACTTCCCCAGAGCTTTTTCATCCAGTTTCAGGGGACACCCACGAATGAGATGCTTATTTCTACCGTTTCCGTATCTCGCAGCTGGTAAACCCCAAATTCAGGTTCCTGCCAGAGCAGGTGCTGCGTGGCTGCCGCACCAACATTTATCCCAAAACCACAAAGCCGGCTGCAAAATCCCCTCCCGATATCATTTTTGAGGGATAAATGAGATTATTATTGGGTTTATTCCTTGTGGGAGGATGGATGGATGGATGGATGGATGGGGGAGAGGCGGCTGCCGGCCACAGGAGGAGCGTTGATGCCAGGCTTTGCCGGGACGCTCGCGTGGCTCCTTGGCTCGTCAGGAAACCCGAAGCTTTGTCAGCTTTTCCGTTGCGACGTGCGATTTTTTCGGTGGCGGGTTTCTCTTCTGCTTTCTCCAGGCAGAGCTGAAGCCCCGGGGGCTGGGCCGGCTTCCTGCCCTTCCCCTGCCTGTTTCTGCCTGCCTGAAGGCAGGCTTCGCTTTTGCAACCTCTTCTCTGGTTTGAAGCATGACGCAGAATATTTTTGCTGTTGCATGTAATTTATTTGCTAGAATATATACCGACGTGTGGGGTAAGATTGCTGCCGTGCTGAGGTTCGGACCGGTCTGTGCTCCGACACAGGTTTTACCGCACGGCCTTGGTTGAGTCATTTATCCGCCGGGATGTAGTTGCTGGAGGGTTTGGTTGTTTTTGCAGGAAAACGGGTTTGTTTCCCAGGGGATTGGGAGGAAGCACATGGCGATGCGGGAGGTGGAAGAAAACAGCAGTTTGTGGATCAAATGCTCTTTTCTCACCTCGGCTTTTCTTTCTGGAGAAGGGAAGGGAGGGGAGAGACTCTGGAAAAATGAAAGCCTGTCTGTAGGAGGGTTTGGGCAAATGCCTGAGGAAAAATGTGACCCGAGAAGCCCTGTCTCATTGCTCAAAACCGCCCTGATGTTGCACTTCAAGGTCTGACTTCCAAAGTGCTCCAAGCCCGTGAGCAACCCTGAGGGCTTCACCCTAAATCTCATTTTAATTCCCCTCCGTAGCATCCAAAACTCGCGCTCGTGCTGCAAAGCTGGGATTTTTGGGGTGAGTATCTGAGTCCTTACAATGGAGATGTTTTGGGACTGGAGGGAATGCACAAAAATTCAATCAGTGTCATAAAAAAAAAAAGTAAAATATAAAGGAACCAGCCCAGCATCTCTCGCTGCTCGTGAAAGTCGGCCCTCATGCCTGCTGCCGGGTTTTGGGACGGCATGAGAAAGCATCAAGCCAGATCCAGACCTGCCTGTGTGGAGCTTCGTAACAAACCCTTAGTAAAATAAATGGAGAAAAGGAGCAAATCCTGCTCATAACCCTTTCACCTCCAGGTCTGGCATCACCGGGGTGGTCCGTGGGCACTCGAAATGCAAATGGTAGCGTAAGTGTATCTCTGCCAGTATTAAATTTTCAGTGAGTTTACACCACTTCTCCCCTTATCTGATTTCTCCTCCCTCCCCGTTTGTTTTCCCGGAGAAGCCCCATCAAACTTTACCTGTGGCTGCATCCGCCGGAGCCTTTTCCCAAGAGCTCTTCCAAATCCAAGCAATTTTTTTTTTATTTTTTTCTCTCCATTATCCACGGGTGTGTGTCAGGGATGCGCTAACGGGGCGGTTCACGCCGATGCTATTCTCTCCTCCCTCTTTGCGATTCAGCTCCCATGAAAGAAGAGCGGGAGGATGGATTACGGCGGCTGCGAGTACCTTGTCCCCTGCGGAAAAGACAAATACATCTCCAAGTAAGATACTCGGTAGGGCTGTAATGCAGAAATACAGTCGGTGATGGTAACTGGGGAGTTATTTGCAATATTCCCCGGGGGTTTTTGCTTTCGAGCTGGGAGGAGGGGAGTGACCCTGGGTTTGGACTCGATTCAGTTGGGTTTGGAAAGAAAAAAGCCATTCTGGGGCAAGAAATGGCAAATTCCTTTAAAAAAAAAAAAAGGGTGTTGATGAGATTTTTAATTTTTTTTCCTTGGGAGCATGGGCAAATGCACTATAAACTTTCACGAAATATTGATTTTGCTGAAAAAGGTCCCAATTAGTAATTGTTCTTTTATAGTTTGCTAAATATGTAAAAGCATGCCTAAGTTTCAGGGAAGATTTCGGAGGAGATAAAGCATACATGTGATATTTTTTCCGCCTCTTTTTTCTTTCTCATAAGCCCAAATCCCCGTGATTTATGCTTCTTTATACTAGACTGATGATGCTGAGCTTCCTTAAACTCCATCAGCCAGCCCAGCTGAATTAACGCCAGCTTTATGAACTAACGCCAGCAGCATCACTGCCCCATGATTCATAGCTGTGCTTAGATGGCCTGGTTTTATTTTTATTTTTATTTTTATTTTTATTTCTATTTCTATTTCTATTTCTATTTTTCATTTGCAACTGGAGAGGGGCTCAGACTTTTAATTTGAGCTCCAGGTCAGGGTCCGGAGCGACAAACCGATGTGATAAACTCGCCTGTGATAACTTGTGACTCCAGCATGACCCAAGGGCTCGGGCGCTCTGAAAATTTCCTTGGTTTTCAGCCTTGTGACCGACTCCGCCAAGGTCTAACAGGTTTTCTTACAGCTTTTCACACGGCGCATGGACAGCACAGTTGCAGGGGAGCTTGTCCCCCCTACTCCTGGTTGCAAAGGGCAACCCCTGGTTGAACCCGCAGCACTTATCCTCAACAAAGGAGGTCTAGAGGCAGCAAAAGACCCAAATTTGCCCCAAATTAAGCTGTTTTGGGTCTCGCAGCAGTGTAGCAGGTTCATTGCCCAGCCTGGCTCTGGGAAGCAATTCCTGCTTTCTCCTAGTTCCCCAAAATTTCCCCCCCGCTGGCTCAGGGGCAGCGCGTCGGGTACCGAGCAGTGCCTGCAACGTCCCCCCTCGCTCCTCCGCATCTCTTCTCAGCATCTTGCCCATTAACTTTTTTTCTTCCAGAAATGAGCTGCTCTTACACTTGAAGACGTACAACATCTACTACGAAGGGCAAAATTTGCAGCTGCGGCACCGGGAGGTAAGAACCCCCCCACCCCGGATGGGTACCCAGCTTATTCCTGGCAACAGAGAAAAAACAAGGGAATTGGGTTTGATTCAGACTTGTGAGGTCCAAAAAAAAAAAATGCATCTTAGGAATCTTCACGGCTCTTTGTATTTCGGATGCTGAGCTGCCCGTCTCTCGTGCAGGAGGAAGGTGAGCTCATTGTGGAGGGGCTGCTGAACATCTCCGGGGTCTTGCGGCGACCCATCCGCCTGCAGATGCAGGACGACAACCAGCGCATCCGTCCTCCACCCTCCTCTTCCTCCTGGCACTCCGGCTGCAACCTGGGAGCCCACGGGTGAGTGGAGGGAAAAGAACAACCCGCCCCCAGCAGCGTTTGGGGGGTTACAACCCCAGCCACCTTCTCTGGGTCCTTTTTTTTTTTTTTTGCCAACATGCGTCACCATGAAGAAGCCAAGTCTGACAGAAAGAAGCTTCATTTCACTTTGCAAAGGCTCATCCTTTTGCAAACCACTCCCTTTTCACAAAGACCCCCCCTCACCTTTTGCAAAAAAACCCCCATCCTTTGGCAAAGACCCCCTTTTGCAAGAAGCTCCTTCCAAAACCAACCTGCGTTTGAATTTTAATACGAGTTTAATGCTGGATGTTGCTCTGCGCCCAAGTGATTCCCCTGGGACACCCCCAGCTCCCAGCCGCCCTCTGCAAACACCCACGGGACCCTGGGCTGCAGCTTGGTCAGCGCCCGGGGCCACCAAGTCCGTGGTTTGTCCTGGCCGTGGCCGGGGCGGGGGGGGCTGCCTGGTTTTCACGTGGGTTTTTTAGATGTCTGGGGAAAAAAAAGAAAAAAAAAAGGGCACGTTCAGTTTTGCTTGTGCAGATTGTGTGCTGGAGCTTGCAAAAAGGCTGTTTCAGGCTTCAGCATCCCTTCCTGGGAAAAAAGGGTGGGATAAGACCCTCCAGAGGGATTTTTTGGGAGCGGGACAGGATGGGATTCAGGATTTATATTGCGACTAGCCTGTGCTGTGACCCTGCGGGGATGGTTATCGGCTGGGAGAACGGGCTCTTTCCCATCCCGGAAATACCAATGTGGGGGCTCAGAGGGGAAATTATCCGGGGTCTCGTTCCCTCTGCAGCTGCCTGCTAACAGGGCACCCGCCTGTTTGGGGGGGTTTATCACCAGGTCCGTGCTGAAGCCCAGCACCTTGCCGGACATCCAGGTTACGGATGCGGAGGCCACGCCGAACGCAGAGGCTCCCGGGAGCGGCGCAGGTGAGCCGGCCTGGGATCCGGTTGGGTTTGGCTGGGCACAGCTGCCTTATGCTCCGGTTTAATTTGAGAAAAATATAAACCAGCCATTTTTTTCCTCTAGAAATCGGTGTCTCCATCTTGCTCCAGGTTACTTTGAGCCGTTTCCAAAGCGCCTATATTTAAGTTATTTAATTGCAGCAAGAAAATCTCAGCCCCGATGGCCCGAAATCCTTCCTACGGGCTTTTACTCGAGGAAGGTGCCACGGTGGGACGCGGTGAGGAGGAGCTGGGAAAGGAATAGGGGGATGGAGCAAAGAGCCTCGTGGGATCGTAGGGAAAAGGATGTCGGCGCTTCCCCTTCCCGGCAGCTCCGCTTTTAGGGAAGAAGAATAGGCACCGTTGGGAAGTGCCGTTACCATGGGGAAGTCGACATTTCTGCAAAGGTTTTTTTTTTTTCCCCCCCCCCTCCCTGGTTTTTCCTCTGTAGCGAGGGGGGGAGAGCTCATCCGCCCCGGCTCTTCGTTAACCCTTTGTTTTTAGCACGAGGCAGTGATGAACAGGACACAAGCTGTCCCACTGGCAATTCCCACTGGAAAAACCTGCTTTAGGCATTTTTCTCATTCGATTGGGGCATTTTGCAGATATTCCTGGCTTTTTTTTAATGGAAATACACCTCGGAGGCAGAGAAGAACCAACTAATCCTTTCGGCTTTGGGATGCTCATCCACTTCCCAGCTCGGGGAGGAGCCGAGCACTTGCAAAACTCATTGCTCCATGAAACCCTTTGCCCCATCCTTGATCCTCCAGCTTTTCCCCCTTTCTCTTTCTGATCTCCCCACGCATGACACTTTTCCCCACCCCACCCCCCCACTTAAAGCTCGCCCAGGCGAAATCCACAACTCATTGCACCGTAGAACTAACCCAGCAGCTATTTCAGCCAGCCCTATGACGTTAATCCTCTGCCAGCGCCCAGAAAGAAATCTTTTGTTGTATTTTTTTTCCAAAAGCCTGTAAAAATCAGCGCATAACGTGCGTGCACGGCTTCTCGTGAGTGCTTAGTCACCGTGGCCCGTGGCAAGCATCTGGAGCAGCGCGCACCAGAGATATTTTTTTTCTTTTTTTTTCTTGTTGCAGACATGCTTTGAATTAAAACATCCAAGCTCGAGCCCCAGAGGTTCATTAAAAATGGATGAAGAGCTAGTTTATAATAACCTGGGCCCAGGCCAGTTTTCACGCAGAGATCTGAAGCGCTGGCCTCGTTTGCCTGTTCTCATTAAAGGAAAGGAGGGGGGGGGATGGGGAGCAGGGGAAGTTAAATTATGAAAAAGCGAGTAAAGGTGCTCGAGTTGCCGGGAGAAGAGGCTTTGTCCAGGTAGCAGCCTGGATTTACACGGTTAATTCGGAATTAATAGCCTCCTTCAGGAGCTGGGAGAGAGTAAACCAGTAGCTGCTGCGGTTTAAACTGATGGGTTAGGTCTGTCCTGGGAAGTTTGGAGGGCTGTGTTTCTGGGGTGGGGACTGTTGCATCCATGGGGGGACTCCCAGGAGCTGGTTTGCAGCGGGGAGACGCCGGGATAGGACGCTGGGGGGGTTCTTGCTTGCTCCCGTCCTCAGCCCCGTCCTGCCGCCGGGATCTTTTCCAGCCACCAGATTGCAGCCGGAGGAGACGCCGCAGCTGATGCGGACGCGGAGCGACGTAGGTGTACGGCGCCGCGGCAGCGCCCGCACTCCCAGCGAGCAGCGGCGCATCCGCCGGCACCGCTTCTCCATCAACGGGCACTTCTACAACCATAAGGTGAGCCCCGAACCTCGCC